CTCTCTCTCTCTCTCTCTCTCTCTCTCTCTCTCTCTCTCTCTCTCTCTCTCACACACACACACACACACACACACACACAAACACACACACACACTTACAATCAATCAATCAAACCTTTTTTGTTTTCAAGTTTTTTGTTTATTTGTTTTTAAATTTTGTATCTTTATTTTTTTAAAACACCTCCTACCCCTGCAAAAAACAGAAATTCATTTCCAAAAAATACAGGTGACCTCAGGGACCATATATCTGATGATAAAAAATGAAAAAAAAAAAATCCAACTTTTCTTTACATTGTTTTTTTATTTTTTTTTTAAATCGAATTTAGTGTTTGATTTTTAAAAAATCCGAAACAAAGTCAAATTCCAAAAAAACAAATATGGGGTTGTAGGGCTTAAAATTCCCTACAACCCCATATTTGTTTTGTTTTTTTTTAGCCTATTATTTAATTCAGGAAAATTCTGGTAAAATCGGGTCCGCGGCGCAGACCAGGTAGGCCGCGGATGCGGACCCGTCTGCGTCCGCCATCCGAGATTGAACTCGCGGACGCGTCCGCGGGTGTTACATAGTGTGAGACACATTGTTTGTGTTGTTTTAGCCTCTTCGTCTTACGAACTGCAACCCTGGTACGCTTGGCACCTAAATTTCGTTTTACCTATGTGAAATCTGACGATGCCGATGTTGAGACATACTGTTTTGTTTGCCTACGTCGAACTAAAGCTGTGACGATGCTGCAATATTTTTGATAGAAACTATCTGTTTTGACAGGATGGTTATTCTAGGGCGTTTGGCAGAGCGTGGGTTCGCAAGGGAGTTTCACGTATTGCAGATCTTGGGTCTTTAGTCTTGGGTATTTCGAGGATACTGGGAATGGGTTCAAGTAGCTTTCCCCAACTCTCATGTGCTCTCGGAGGCCACATGAGACACTGTTTTTGTTTTGTTTTAACCTCAAAGTCTTACGAACCATAGCCCGATACGGCTGCCACCTGAAGTTTTTTTTGCTTATTTGAACTCTTATGATATAGATGTTAAGATATAGTGTTTTGTTTGCCTATTTCGAACTAAAGTTATGACGGGTTTGCAAATTTCTCAATATAGAATATATGTTTTGACGAAATGTTGTTCGTGGGCGTTTGGCAGAGCGTGGGTTTGCAGGGGAGTTTCACGTACTGTAGACCTTTGGTGTTTAATCATGGGTACTCCGAGGCCACTGAGGGAGTTGTCAATCCCCTCCAAGGCTTAAATAAAGTACAGGAGAGTGGGAGAATGCTACTTCAACTCATTCCCGAGAAATGAGTGTCTCTCCTGGGTCCTTAGGGTTTGGACCAACAATGAACTTGGTATTGTGTACCAATACCTGCATAGTGCGTATGGGAAGTGCGATCATGCCTGACCGCGTTAGGCTTCAAGGAAGTTAAGAGGTGGGAAGCATCCACCCAGAACTACATACTGGAACTGACATGAGAGGGTGTGATTATGATATGCAAGGACCTCCCTTAGATCCAAATGTTAGAATGGAAAATGATCGAGGAGACAATAAATGCATACAATGGGTGGGGAAGGTCTCATTGAGAGATCAAGCGGTCGACCCCAACCAGGAGTTGACGGGGAGGTAGGATCTGGTTGTCAAAATCACGGGGCCTGAATTTATCCAATCATTCTGTCTGAGAGTCCTATCGACTCGCCGACCCTTGCACCCGCTCTCCAACAACAGTTGCCAACTTCAGATGGAGTCATTGGAGTGCAATTCAAATGAACGATTTGCTACATGCATTTGAAGACTTTAAGAAGTTGTGGAGTATCTTGAAGGAACTTCTGAACGTGAAACAAGCAAGCATTTTGTGGCCACGAAGGTATATATGCAACGGTACGGATTCTGAACGATCAATTCGGGTTGTGAATGATGAATAAGGGTTGTAAACAACCAATTTGGGACAAAATGGACGAGTGGTATAACAAACGACGAAAAAGCCACGAGGGTATAAACGCAACCCTAGGGGTTGTGAGCAATCAATAATTTTTTGTTATGGATCATCTATACGCTGTGCTCAGCCTTGTGAGTGTTAGGTGAATGTGGCCTTGAAGAGGGTGAGGATAGAGATAAATTCAACAGATTGTACATACGAAAAAGTCAAGAGGGTATAAACGCAACCCAACCTAGTGAGTATTAGGTGAATGTGGCCTGGAATAAGGAAAAGATAAATACAAATTCAAACGTTTGTACAAAGAACACACGAGAATCGATGGTCACAATAACTCTTTTAACCACCAATACCTAGCCCAATCATTTTTTTCACAAGCAGCCTTTAACACGCTTCAACTTCAGCAGGTCAGCCTTCCGGAGCAAAATGGTTGGCAACTCCAACCAAAAAGAGGTTTGCGCAACTCTTTCTTTCTTAGAGGGCATGAATTTTTCGGACCGGACAAGAGATGCACCAAATGCACAAGTGGTTTGAAAAACCTATATGTCGAAGTTTTTGTTTTCATGAACGTCGATCATTTGTGCAGACCATGTTTTGTTAAATCAACTCTAATATGAAATCATATTGTCTT